AGAGTATAGAGTCGCATCAACGTCGCACTACATGAACAGAACTGTCTTACTCTCCTATTAGCCCTCCCCCCAAAAATGCAGCTTTGGACATATAAAAGTTCCTGCACTACTTTGATGTGACTTTGATGCTACTTGAGTACAAGAGAGTGTAAAGTTACATCAAAGCTACACTACATGAACAGGACTGTCATACTTTCCTATTAGCTAAAAAAAAAAAAGAAGCAAAATGCAAGAAAAACGCAACACTTACGTTTTTGGTGCAGATCCATTTGAACTCTATTTCATGCAAAATTAATTCTGCTATGGGAAATTTTTGCATTCTTTAATACACCTGCCTGGTTTATAGGTTTAACTCTCAGCAGTTGGGTACAGACAGATAGAAAAGATACAAAGTACTACAGCTCAGTATTTATTTTTTTAAATGCAGGCAGATGAACCCCCTCACCTATGGCTTTTAGGGGCTGCTCATCAAGTAGTGATCACTGTATTTGGCTGTCCTACTGGCTTCCAATGGTAAATAGTGGCTGAGAGTTGTCAGTGACAGCTCCATTGCAAAGCTGGGGTTACTGAGTGAGTGCGTTCCTAGCACAGAACAGCAGAGCCAGTGGTATGCAGATATATATACATATACAGTAAATAGTATGTAGCGCAGTAGCAACAGGTTAGTTACCAGATATTGACCCATTGTCTTGCAATCGCTTGCTTAGCAGAGCTCAGACTGGAAGAGGGGAGGACAACACAAGGAGCCTATCAGTTATGCTGCAGTGCATACTATGTGTGCTAACAAGCAACATGCTGATAATAGGAGATAGCAAAGAGATGAGCTCATTGGTCTACTGCTTCTGCTCTCACTCTCCAGTCACGGGGTGAAAGAGCGACAAGACCTGTGATTGTAACTTAACTGCAGTAATGTAAAATGAGGTCTCCGGCCCTGCGACACAGGGTCATACTGGATGGGCAGAAATACCAATCCTTTGGCAGCTTAACCACTTACACTCTGGAAGACTTTACCCTCTTCATGACCAGGCCATTTTTTGCTATATAATCCTTCTCTACTGTAACTGACAATTTGCGCGGTCATGCAACGCTGCACCCAAATTAAATTTAAAACATTTTTTTTCACGCAAATAGAGCTATCCTTTGATGGTATTTGATCACCACTGGGTTTTTTATTTTTATTATATGAATGAAAAAAGACGGAAAATTTGGAAAAAAAAACCTGTATTTTTTTTATATATATCGCTTTTGGGCTCCATGCACAATCGGCATTTTAATAATGCTGGTAGTGTTAGCTGTGTAAAGTTGCATTAAAAACACAAGTTTTTTTAGCATGAGTGTTTAGCAGCGTTTTTACGTGCTTGTGCCTTTAACATCTTTTACACAAAAAGCTTGCCTTTTACTAAGATAAAAAAAAAAACGCCCAAAAAATGCCAGTTTGCGGCAGTTTGTAGCGTTTTACCACATTTTTTCCACGTTTACCAGTGTTAGAGTGTTTTTACATCTAATAAACTCCACTAGAAACCCACTAGTTCTGTTTTTTTTTCCAGCAAAAAAACGCCCCTGCCAAAAAATGATGATTAAAGCCTATGTGTGCATGGACACATACATGCTGGGGAGTTTACTGGTTGTAGAAAAAAACTCCAAAAGCTAAAAACAGCCGCTATAAAAACGTCCAGTGTGCATGAGGACCTAAAGCAGTGGTTCTCAACCTTCCTAATGCCGCGACCCTTTAATACAGTTCCTCATGTTGTGGTGACCCCCAACCAGGGGGCAAAAGGGGATCATGGGGCCCCTGTGTCCTTGCCCAAACTCAAAAAAGCCTATGAAAAAGGTACCAGGAGCATCTCATGGGGCCCCCAACTGACCCCAAGCCCTCGGGCAGTGCCCGAATTTCCAAATGGTCAGTCCGCCCTTGCCTCCAACCATAAAATTATTTACCCAGTAATTATAATTCATGAAGTGTCGTTTTACCTCCAATACTGCTGCTTTTAACAGAGTAGCTGCTTTCAACACAGTAGCTGCTCTTACACACTGGAAATATGTGTTTTCCGATGGTCTTAGGTGACCCCTGTGAAAGGGTTGTTCGACCCCCAAAGGGGTCATGACCCACAGGTTGAGAACCACTGACCTAAAGCATAAAAAAAGTATCTTTGTGCAATCTCCAATCGATATATTAACTCTTGTCAGAACAGCAATATGACTTTCTTCAGCAGGAACAAACACCATTGTGCCCTTCACCACACCTCATGGGTATCTCCTCCTTCATAAGGAGGGTCAATTTCGCTTTTATTCTAGAGACCATGATCTTCTTCAGCATTCACCTGGTCATTACCATTCTCCCAGGAATGCAAGGAAATATCCAATAGTGCAGACTGCTAGTTTATTTCCATAAGAAAGTTAAAATTCTACTCACATAATAAAAAGTTCATAGAGACATGTAACAGGCTATTAGCATACTCGACTTTCCAAAATTACATCTAAGCTTTGCCCAGCTGCCCGCCTGATGCGTTGCACCCCAGTAGACTTTCTCAAAGGCCTGCTATGTCTGCTGTCATGAGTCCTCAGGTTGGTGACCTGAGGGCCTGGATGCTGAGGTCCTGGAACTAAAGAGAGCTGACTGAGGGGGGTGTCTGCTGAAGATCTGGTCTGGTCTGGTATCACCAGAGTCACACGAGTGGACTGATGGGGTCCATCTGTCCGTTTTTCAGGCAGACCTGATTGGTCCATCCATAGTCTTCTATGGACCGGCAGGTGTGACAATAGTCCGCTGACACCCCCGACAGCATCCAATCTGATCCTGTGCGCCAAAAACAGATGAATTAGGATCCGTTCCTCATCAGTCCAGCGGATCGAATCGGATGACAATCGGGGTGGAAACGGACAGGCGGTCCGTTTCCATCTGACCGTCCCATTGAAATCAGTGGGCAGTGTCTATGCCCACTCTGCAGCAGCAGACCAGACAGAGACCTGTCATCCACCTGCTCAGCTGGGATCAGTAGAGAGATTCCTTGCTGAGCCAGTGGATCATGCTGACGAATTCACCTCGTATGAAAGGGGTCTAAGGTGTCAATTGGAAGTTGGAAGGAGGCAAACAGCTGTCCTTGGGCCTTGTGCAAGTACTTCTTGTGCTTCCAAGAGATCTCAGGGACCGTTGTGTTTTTGCCACCCGTCTGGTGCTAGAGAGTCAGTTGTAGGTCAAGTTAAAGGGGACACCATCTGGTGTCCTGAAGAGCTTTGTATAGCTAATGTTCTACTTAAAAGGACTCTTCTCTAGTGGCTCTAAGAAAGAGATTTACAGTTAACTACCACTACTATGACGACTACTACTACTGCTACTACCTTAAAGCTGAAGTCTACCGTTTGTTACAAGCATACACTTTAATATAGCTTGTTCTGAAGAATATCTAAGTTATACATAGTTCTTGTTTTTGGAGTATACCACCTATTTCCCTCAACCCTATCCAAGTTCTCCAAAAATAAAAACAAAAAAACAACACCCCTACCAAAATATGTAAATGAGCCTGTGTGTCTGACTGCGGGGCAGAGCTTGTGGGGAAGAACTGGACAGTATTCCTGAGGCTCCTACAGAAATAGCACTACACTTCAGAAATTTAGGCCAAAATGTATTCTGTCTTTGGTAAAAAATCCCAATATGCGTATATTGATTGGTTTGCATGAAAGTTATACCGTCTACAAATGATGGTATATATACTTAACCACTTCCAGTCCAGACACTTTTACCCCCTTCCTGTCCGGACCAATTTTCAGCTTTCAGCGCTATCACACTTTGAATGACAATTGGGTGGTCATGCAACACTGTACCCATATGAATTTTTTATCATTTTTTTTGAGACAGATAAAGATTTATTTTGGTGGTATTTATTCACCGCTGGGATTTTTTTTTTTTTTTTGCTATGTAAATTAAAATGTCGAAAAATTTTGAAAAAAAAAGTGTTTTTCTTAAAAAAGTTTGCAAATAAATAGTATTTCATCATAAATCTTGGCCAAAATGTATTCCGTTATATTTTTAGTAAAAACAAATAACCCAAATTAGTTTATAACCAAAATTATAATTTCTAAACTTTTTTTTTACATTTTTTTTTATATTATTATTTATTTATTTATTTATTTTTTATACATACTGTCACCCTAGCAGTACAGTATCACCATGGTGACACTGTACTACTTGTGGGGGGTGATGAAGATTTCTTTTTTTTTTTTTTTTTTTTTTACACTGATTGCTTTTACACCCATAAAGGCTATAAAAGCAATCATTTCTCCTTCTCTCCAGCTGCATTCTTGCAGCCATTGAGAACTACTGAGTGAGCTGTGATTGGTCACAGCTTGTCACATGGTACAAGGCTGTCGTGAATAGCCTTGTACCATGTGACCTCTGTGATCATTCACAGATTTTGCGCATAGTAAGCAATGATGTCACAAGTGAGATCTTGCTTACTACTCTGCATGTGATCACTGATTGGCCAATCAGTGATCACATGATCGGGACCTCATACAGAGGTCCCATCCGACGATCGGTGTTCCATTGTGTCCGGAGGATCGTGGTGCTGCGTGCTCCCATGGAGCGCGCACAAGCAGGGTGCGGGGAGGCCATTTATAAACGGACACCCGACTCTGCACTGCCACCGTCTGGCTGTTTATATACAACGGCTAGAAGGGAGATGGTTGAATTAAACATTTTTTTATACTAGTAATTTCGGTGATCAGCGACATATACTGGGACCATGATAGTGCAACAGGCAATCTAACACTAACTGACACTTTTTGGGAACTGGCTAACTGACACTGACATCACCAGTGACACTAATACAGTGATCAGTGCTAACACTGTAATAATGACACCGGCTGGCATGGGGTTAACATCCCAGGGTATTCAAGGGGTTACGTGTGTGCCTAACAATATGTAATGTGTGTAATGTTTGCTCCTTTTTCCTAAAGAACACTTTGTTTCACAGAGATTGTTCCCTCTGTACAGAGCCCTGTGTTGATTGATAAATGATCACAGCCAATCAGCAGGTCCCGGGCATGAATCATTGGTTGGGAACTGCTAAGTCCCAGGTGCGGACTGACCATTTGGGAACTCGGGCACTGCCCGAGGGCCCAGGGTCAGTAGGAGGCCCCATGAGATGCCCCTGGTACCTTTCATAGGCTTTTTTGGGTGTGGTTTGAGTGTGGGCGAGGACACAGGGGCCCCATGATCCCCTATTGCCGGGGGGCCCCATGAATTGTCAGTCCGCCCCTGCTAAGTCCCATTTTGTTAAATCACAGCAGATCTGGCAGGCAGAGACGTGTGTGCTCCCTGAACCTGGAAGATAGCCACAACGTACAGGTACGGTATATATACTGTGGCGAGTCGGCAAGCAGTTAAACATTCCTTATACATGAATTTCATCTGTGTATTTAGATGTTTTCATGGAATTCAGCTATAAGTTCCTTGCTGTCATGACTTCCCACATTTATACATTTGTATTAGTCTGTCAGTGCAAGCGGTCTGGGTCTGATAACCAATGGGATAAAACCCTTGACCTTTGTGGTCACTTTTAATTCAGCTGGCAGGCTCTGCATGACACCACCAGAAGTTAGTAGTCTGCATGCAGCATGTATCTTACAGTGCCTGCTGTAAATGTATTATGGAAGGTCATAGCAACAAGAAACAGTTTATAAGGTGTGACACAGTTAAATGTGATGTAGAAACAACCTCTGGAGAAATACAAAAGGCAGAGTTCAAGTGATAACATACCTTTTTCTTGCAATGACCTCTAAGATATGTTTAACTTTGATGTCCTGCTGATCTGGTGCTAGCACTGTTTTCATATTTCATTCAATTTGGAATATAATGAGAAAAAAAATACATTTTTGGACATGACTTTTATAGGGGTGAAGGAGAGCATTGCAGGGTAGTGGTGAATAATGATGCTTTCACACAGGATTTCCAGAATTCAAAGCTTTCCGTGTCATCATTGTACCAAGAACAAAGAACTACACAATTGTATATCAACCACCCAAATATCATTTTACCAGAAGCACTAAGCCATGGTTGTCCAACTTTAGTCCAGAAGAACCACTCAGAATGAATGCTTTCCTACGTTCCAGGCAGCGGCATAGAAGAAGCTCCCATATTATATGACCCATAACACCCAACTACCTAATAGGACAGCAAAAAAAATAAAGGAATGGGAGATTTAAGCCTCCTCTAATCTATTGTAAACTAAAAATAAAAAAAAAAAGGGGCTGTAAACACTTTAAGGCTCCTAAAAACGCACAGGTATGAATGTACCCTTTGTTTAGCCAATAAACAAAAGATAGATAGACCTAGTGGGGAGATATACTGTGTCCCATCCTCACATGAGTCTATTGAGAGCTGGGATCTTCACTCAGTGGTCTACTGTAGCCTTTGTCAATTGTCTTAACACAAAGGAACCCTTAAAATAACTTTCCAGTCAAACATCTTGGAGAACTAACCACAGATCTTCTGTGGATGTAGGCTGCCTCAAATCCTTCTGTCTCTTCATGTAATCCCAGACAGACTCGATGATGTTGAGATCTGGGTCTCTGTGAGGGCCAAACCGTCACTTCCAGGACTCCTTGTTCTTCTTTATGTTCTTAATGGCATTGGCTGTATGTTCAGGTTGTTGTCCTTCTGATGATATGGCATGATGGATAGGTATCTGCCTGTATTTCTCAGCATTGAGGACACAATTGATCCTGACCAAATCTCCAACTCCATTTGCAGAAATGCAGCCCTAAACTTGCAAGAAACCTCCACCATGCTTCACTGTTGCTTGCAGACACTCATTATTGTACTGCTCTCCAGCCCTTTGGCAAACAAACTACTTCCTGCTACAGGTAAATATATCAGATTTTGACTTATCAGTCCAGAGCACCTGCTGTCATTTTTCTGCAAACCAGTTGCTATGTTTTCCTGCATAGTTGGGTCACTTAGCCTTGTTTTCACGTTGGAGGTATAGCTTTTTGGTGCAATTCTTCCATGAAGACCACTTCTGGCCAAACCTCTATGGACAGTAGATGGGTATACAGTACCTCTCTGGTTCCTGCCAATTCTGTGCTGATGGCACAGATGGACATATTCAGATGTTGAAGAGAAGTAAGCATGATGAGTCTTTCATCTGCTCCATTAGGTTTCTTTAGCTGATAACTTTGTCTACAGTCCTCAATGTTGCCTGATCGATGTTCTCAATACTGAGAAATACAGGCAGATACTTATCCATCATGCCATACCATCACGGAAGAGCCTTGGTCCCAAATTTATTCTGCAGCGGAACAACAACCCCAAACATACAGCCAATGTCATTAAGAACTATATTCAGGGTAATGAAGAACAAGGAGTGCTTGAAGTGATGATCTGGCCCCCACAGAGCCCTGATCTCAACATTATCAAGCCAGTCTGGGGTTAAATGAAGAGACAGAAGGATTCGAAGCAGCCTATAACCACAGAAAGTCTGTGGTTAGTTCTCCAAGATGTTTGGAACAACCTACCTGCCGATTGCCTTCAAAAACTGTGCACAAGCACTATGTGTACTGAAAAGAATTGGTGCTGGTTTGAAGCCAAAGGGTAGTCACACCAAATATTGATTTAATTTAGACTTTTCTTTCTGTAAAACAAACACAAGATGGCATTGACCTGCAGAACAGTGGCATTCACACTCTATGGGGAAACTCCAAGGAACTTGTATGCTGAACCACAGGACTTTACTAAGGAGCAGTGTAGTAAAGAACTACATTTTCCAGAAGAGCCGGCGTGTTTGCAGATGCATATATATGTGAAAGCCCGGGAGATGAGACAGGAAATGAGAGGGGAGAGATCTGGAGAGAGAGAGGAGTGCGCTGACTGCAGGAGGACCGAGCTAGGCCGTGGAAGGAAAGAGAGAAAGGAAACAAGAAGAGCCAGCTGATCACTGACCATCGTGAAGGAAGCTAATCTGCTAGCAGGTGACTGGATGGAACACTGCAGGTGGGACTGGAGAGTGTGTGGAGGACTTATTGAAGGAAAGAGAAAGACCACTAGGATTTGCCAGAAGTCATTCCTCTGGTGAGAGAGTCCCAAGCATTACCAAGGACAGCAAAACACACATCTGCTCAACCTCTACTATTCTCCTGCACACAGTCGCAGACATTGCACATAGTTATTAGAAGTTATGGCCTAGTTCTTCAGCCGTTAGCGTTTGACCACACTTAATACAGCTTCATCATCAGAACTGATAGCAGGACAGTCAGTCCACAAGCTGAAACACTGCTGTGTCACCACCATCATCAATTCACTTTATTAAGGGGGCCTTTTCCTATTGTGCCAATAGTTTTGCAGTCCAAAGAGTAGTTTGCTTTAGATTCACTAGTGACTAGTGCTTTAAAGGAGTAGTGTTGCACCTGCCTGAATTATACACAAAAAAAAGACCCTACCTAAAGAAGCTAAAGGTCCTTGGGCACCTTCAACGCCAAGGACCAGCGGAGTTGGTGTGTATCAATTTCTTGTGCCTACAACCAGATTCTAGCGGATGGGGGAATGTCGTAGTAGTGACAGATCACTTCATTGTATATATGTACATTTCTAACAGTAAATTAAGTATATATCTTAGAAAATTACACACGTTTCTTTGCAATAAATTACAAGTATGATGTTTCCTTTCAGCCTAATGGAGCCTTATGGTGTACTAAAAATTCATTTCATAAAGAGTGCACTAGGATTATACATACACATACTTTAAGTAGTCATATTCTTTAGTCTCAGTGTAGTGACTTCTTTATTACGAATGACTGATGTAAGTTCATCAAAATGTAAGTCTAGCCAAACCTTTTTTAGTTCTGGATAGGAGCAGGCAAGGATTATAACCTTCATTGGGATTTACTGCTATCTAGGTCCCAATTATAGAGATTTCCCTCTTACTTTCCGTTCAGGGGTTCTGGCCTTTCTCTAATCTACAAAACTAAGCTATTTTATTTCTCTCTGGGTTGTCATTGGAGATTTACCCTTACTTCCTGTCTGGTGACTTTTGTCAGCAGAACAGGCGGTGAGGGGAAATATATTTAATAGAGTTTCAGATAGCAGTAAAAATCAATTCTATTCAAAACAAAATAATAAAAAAAAATAAAAGTTTTGGTTGGACTTATAACAAAACATTAATTGAAACAAGAATTTAATACATTTAGTAGTGAGTACAATAATTAATAAATAAATTTTGCAGTAAAAATATGGCCAGGTATTACCAATCACATATCATATGCTTGTTCAGTAGAACTTTAAACATTTACTCAGTTTGTGCGAATATATGAACAAGATAGAGCACTTGTTTTTAGTGTAGCGGACTCCCATCACCTGGAGGTGGAAACGCTAAACACTGGGTGGATTGATCCCATGGAGATGCATTGTTATACAATAGCTGGAGGGCTTCATATTTGTGAAGGTCACCTGTGGCTCCCAAAGTACAAATAAATTCATGAAGATCACTGTCAATCATGTATTTGCATTGGCCTGCTGGTAAATTATTCTCACATTTGCATTTAGGATGGTGTATTTTAATTAAGAGAGGATAATATTTTATGGATGAATTTTCTGATAGCAGTAAATTGCTTCTAGTTTTAGGGTGTCTTATCCAGGAGGTATGGGAGGAAGGGAGAACGGAGAAAGGAGACTTCTCTATATTTATTGAAGGAATATCACACATGTGTTACGTACCTGATGGGAGACTGAATTGACGAGGTCGGCCTTACTTGTGTCACTAGCCCTGACCCCACCGAAGTTGATACAGAGGGAGTCTAGGGACCAGGGGGACAAGAGCGCCAGTGGTTGTTGTTTGCAGCTCTTGCAGATGATGACCTTGGAAGGCTGATGATCCTCTGATTTGGGCACCGTAGTAATAGGCAGAGCAGGTTTTGTAGATTGCCAGGCGTGCAGCAGAGCAAGGCAGGTAGTGAGGACAAGAGACAGGGGCAGAGTCATGGAATAGCCAGGGTCATCAACAGTTGGGCAGCATGGTACAGAATCAGAAGGAAAAGCCAAGGTCAGAAGCAGAGCCGAAGT